CACTTCATCTTAATTAGTTATTTATTTCACATATTATATTTATTGTATAAATATATGACAAGTATGAGCGTAGGAGTTACCAAGAAGGAGTCATCTAAGAGTAAATAATTAGGCCGGGTAATTAAATCAAGATTAAATAGGGGCAAAAGACGAACACTATGTGCTCGTAGCCGGGAGGAAAGGTCTGACAGTGAGAATGATGAACTATATAAGGGGAAGTGCTCACTGCTATCATGGATGATTGATTTGGGAAGGTGAGTTGCGAGAGAAGAAAGAGTATAGAATTGATGCTCGGAGGAAAGATTACTAGAGATGGAATCTGTCGCAACTGTTGCAATAAAATGCACACCATTCGGGACTTTGAATCTCATGCGGGAAGTGGGCTTCATAAACCATTTAAAAATATCTATTTGGAATCCGGGGTTTCTCTTCTCCAATGCCTCATTAACTCCTGGTCTAAGCATTCAGCAACTGATCGGTGGATATGAACGGTGATGATCCCAATGATGATATATGCAACGTTTGTGCAGATGGTTGTGATTTGATGTATGCCCATCGGCATTCCATAATGTCTGTTTGGGTATTGAAGTACGTATGGAACATGCTTCTCCTACTTTTTTTGCATGAACCTGTTTGTCTTGTCATTTATTTGTTTGATTGCACTTTAAATTCATGCCGATACAAATTCACTTGCATGGATGCTTTTAGAATTTCCATTTTCTATTTACTTTTGATGGTTCCCTTAAATAGCCATGTGGTAGGCTATTAAGAGTGTCTCTCTATGTAGCATTTTGCTAGATTTTATCAAACAAAAAAATAAAGACATAGTTTAAGACCACAACCATAAGCTACAGTGTGATCAATCATTATGCGTTGTTTTATAGCCAGGATTGAAACAAATTTTCATTTTACTTGGTTGAAATATGACATGCTGCACCAAATATGGAAATTTGACAAAACTTATGTTTCAGGACTTTGGTTGTTGAAAATAAGTTATGGCTTAAGTTAATTTTTTCTGCAACATTTGATCAAGTTACGGAAACTTAAATATTTTTCGTATGGTAATTCATAAAGGAAAACTAGATTGTTGTTAAAAGACTAATTACTCCAAAAAAATATGAACATGTTGAAATCCTCTCTCTTTTTGTTAATTTAAGTGAAAATGAATACTCACATTTCTTGTGTCTCAGAAGGTTCCCTCTGGAGATTGGATCTGTGTATGCTGCCCATACAAACTCTGTGGAGTGGCTGGTAAAATTATCTTGAAGATCGACGAAGATCACGATTCAGTTGTGTCCGAATTATTCACGTGTCATTTTCGTTTTCTATTTAATCATGTATAACTGGTAGTATTGCAATGTTGTTCACAGTTATTGCCTTTTGCAGTCCACCTGTCTTGCATTGGTGGGAAGGATGCTAGTCGTGTTGATTACCAGAATCCATCCTTTTGTGGGCCAGAATTCCAGAAGGTAGTTCGCTATCTTTATAATTCTACTGTTTGGTCTTCTTCAGAATCTTGATAGTATGAGTCATATTGTTGTTAAATAATATTTTGGTGGATTTTCTTAAAGATGTCACATCCCCTTTTTATTAACGTTTGTAGCGAAGG